CCTCCATTCCTTTAGAAGTCAGACCAAACACCTCCATCCCATCAGAAGTCGAGCCAATCACCAACTTCATTCCTTCGGAAACAGAACAAAATTTGCCCAGTAACCATGAGTCTGTCACCCTAATCCATTCTAAACCTGCAATTGACAAAAAGCTACGTGTTTATTCAAAGATTAAAAGACCCAAAAAGGAGATAGAGACCTACACACTTCCTATGGAAAACCATGAATCCAATCTAGTTCCAAATAGTCCAGGAACTATTTTTTATGAAATTGAAACTACAACTGATATTACTGTCAATAATGATCTCGATGTTCCTATTGCAATAAGGAAAGGTTTGAGATCATGTACTCAGCATCTTATCTGCAATTTTGTATCTTATGATGGTTTATCACCAAAATATCGAGCATTTGTCACTAATCTGTCAAATGTAGAAATACCACACAGTGTTCATAATTCTCTAGGGAAACCATAATGGAAGGCTGCGATTTGAGAAGAAATCAATGCTTTCAAAAGAAATGGAACTTGGGAACTTTCAAATTTACAAGAAGGGAAACAACCAGTGGGATGCAAGTGGATTTTTACTGTCAAGTAGAATCCAGATGGGAGTATAAATCGATACAAAGCAAGGCTTGTTGCTAAAGGTTTCACTCAAACATATGGCGTAGACTACCAAGAGACTTTTGCTCCTGTTGCCAAACTCAATACTGTATGGGTATTACTATCTTTGGCAGCCAATCTAGATTGGCCCCTCCATCAATTGGACATAAAAAATGCTTTTCTCAACGGCGATTTGGAAGATGAAATGTACATGAAAATTCCACCCGGCTTTGAGAAAAAAAATAATGTTAACAAGGTTTGTGAGCTTCAAAAATCTTTGTATGGTCTCAATCAATCTCCTAGAGCGTGGTTTGACAAGTTCTTAAAACCAGTAAAAAAAGCATGGGTATTCTCAGGGACAAGCCGATCATACCCTGTTCACAAAATTCTCTTCTAGTTGGAAGATTTCCATCCTCATCATCTATGTAGATGACATTATTATGATAGGAGATTATATAGAAGGAATAAATTGTTTAAAGGAGGTCCTTGCTAAAGAATTTGACATCAAAAACCTAGGAAAACTTAAATACTTTCTAGGTATGGAGGTGGCGAAGAGAGGAATAGTTGTTTCCCAATGTAAGTACATCTTGGATCTATTCAAAGAAATTGGAATGTAAGGATGCAAGCCCGCTGACACTCCTATGGAATCAAATTATAAAATTGGGTTCAGGGAAGAAAGTCCTCCAGTTGACAAAGGAGGATATGAACGACTTGTAGGAAAACTCATCTATCTATTTCACACAAGACCTGACATAAGTTTTCCAGTTAGTGTTGTAAGCCAATTCATGAACAAACCCAATGAAGAACATCTTGAAGCAGTTTATCGGATCCTTCGATACTTGAAAAGGACTCATGGTAGAGGACTTTTCTTTTAGAAAGGAAGGAGTAAGGAAGTTGAAGTCTACTCAGATGCAAATTGGGCAGGTTCCATTATAGACAGGAGATCAACCACAGGTTATTGCACTTATATATGGGGTAACTTGGTCACTTGGTGTAGCAAGAAGCAATCTGTTGTTGCAAGGAGTAGTGCCAAAGCATAATTTAGGGCATTAGCTCAGAGTATATGTGAAGGAATATGGCTAAAAAAACTACTAGACGATTTAAAAATCTCAACAAAAGAGCCAATAAAGGTACTCTGTGACAATTTGGCTGCAATCAGTATTGCTAAAATTCCCACTCATCATGATAGGACTAAGCATGTAGAATTAGACCGTCACTTCACTAAAGAAAAAGCAGAAGAAGAGATACTAAACTTGGTCTACATCTCTACACATCTTTAGGTTGCTGACATTCTAACAAAAGCCCTTCCAAGAATAAAGTTTGAAGAATTTACATCAAAGCTGGGAATGATTGACATCTATTTCCTAGCTTGAGGGGGAGTATGGAATTCTTGAGGAGGAGTATGGAATTCCAGAATTTGTTCCTAATCAGTTTCTGATTTTGTGTTGATTTGTTTTTCTATTTAAATAAAAGTAGTGATTCTCTCCATTTGTTCCTACTGTAGCTAAAATTTAGGAGATCTAGTGATAGCTTGTAGCCAAGGATTTCCTATAAATATCCCAGTTTATTTTTTTGTAAATAAGTGAATAAAAATTAGAGTTTTCCTCTCTAAAATCTTCAGTTTCATGAACTTTAAAATATCTAAATCAAATCACCCAACTTCATAGTTCCTGCATGGAACCAAGTTGTCAAATTTGTAATCCACCTGGACAATCTAAAACCGACATCATTTAAACGTTACACGATTTTGCCAATCGTTTCTTGTAAGCAACGACTTTGCTCAAACAAGAAACTCCTAAAAGATGGTGTTTCTTTTCACATTTACAGTCGCCGTTCATTTTTAAACGTGGGTGAATTGAGATTAAGCCGATGTCTTATAAGCAAATATGATAATTTATCTGCATTTCACTGCAAGATTGGTCGAGTGTTTCCTTGGATATACATTCTACCAAAAATCGTCAGGAGAGAACAAGTGTTCATAATATTCACCATAAAGAACATTACTTGATCCTGAATGAGATGAACTTGTAACACTCGTAAAACTTGCTATCAACTAAATAAAGCCATAATGCTCTCCTGAACCGAAAGCTGCCAAATCTCGACAATTATCTATACAAATGAATACCGTTTCCCCTAAGGCTTATTTAGACTTGATAAGAAAAATGAAAAATATTATTCCTTCTCAAGTTTAGATGAACCTGAAAAGCCTGTCTGACAAATAGCTAGGTTCGATACTTCTGCATGTATACTAGCATCACCTATTCGCAGATGTATGCGGCATTGGGTAAGTCATGGGACCCATTTTCGTCTGGCGTTTGGGTCCTGGAATTGGAGCTTGGACACCATATGCCATGTGAGTCGATGGTGGAACATTCACTGGCATGCCGACTGCAGAAACAAGTGGTCCTCCTATTGGGTGGCCTATAGTTGGTTCTCCATACATCCCAACTCCAGGAGCTGTAGCTGGGACTTGAGGAGGTTGTTTCTTTGATTTCACAGATGAACTTCCCACGGCAGAAGCATTTGTTTGATCAGTGAACGGACCTTGTGGCACTGAAACTTCTCCACTGCTGACACTAGTGATGTCATGAATGCTCGACCGCCTTCTATCTTTGTTCATGGAGTTCAGACGAATGAAGTATTTTTGGGCATGGCTAGCCACTTGTGTAGGATTTCTGGTCACCACAAAGTTCCTGGAAATGCTTCGCCAATCGCCTTTTCCATATTTATCCAAACCAAGAAGAAACAACCTGTTTCATGAACATTTTAATTATCAATAGAAATATAAGTCATGCTCAAGGATAGAGCAAAATGTAACGTCAGGAACAAGTAGCCGCGAAAGCAAACACAGAATGCAGTTAATTTGTGCTTCAAACATAGATGAAAACATTACAAAAATAGACAAACAATCAGAGCATCTGTAGTATAATAACTCTGGCATAAAATATAAGTAAATCCTCCAAGTATTTAAATTTATCTTTCAGAATACACACCAATCATTGTGTCTGCTCTAAAATACACTGAAGATCAGTAGTAATCATTCAAGGATGTAGAATAAAGCGTACAAATATAAATATAAAGGGCAGAAGCGCAGAGACTCAATCAGTAATTTTGGATATCTCTAGACATGATTAGATTCCCTTTACTTTCACTCTTTCCATCTTTCAAATGCAGGACAGAATTGCATAGGCAAGAGCAGGCCATTGGGAATCACAGGAAGAAAAAGAAGATCCAAACCCTTTTAATTTTTCAACAGTAATTTCATGAGAAGGCGTCAAACAATAATACAAAAGAAATAGATAACCTATTTTCCCTTCTTGATAGCCATCAGCCACAAAATACTTTATGACCAGTTTCTAAGACAAAACTTAAAGAGAAGCTTGACCAGTTATTAAAACTTATATATTTAACGAGGGTAAAAACATAAACTACTTAAATTATGTCAATGCAACAACTCCCATCCTCACCAGCCATTAAAAAGACAACACCAACTTCAAACTAAGGTTTCACTTACGTTTGAAGGACTCAGTATAAACTAGAAAAGGGTTCACCACAACCACCAGCTGTAATGATTTCTGTCCATCGGTAAACATATTTACAATGCAAGACAAAGGCCAATGGAGCTTTCATTGATAGGGTAATATACAGTAGTCGATTATCGAAAAATTTCTGTCTACTGCTACCAATGTTCTTCTTAATTCACTCCTTTGCATTGACATCCTTCAAGATGTTGTATTGTTCATGGTCAGTAAATTGGGCAATGATAAGATCTCCTAGTGAGTATAAACAAAATATAGTCATCTGCTGTTATGGGGAGGGGTGAAAGGCAAAAGATGTGATCTGGCAATATGCAATTGATTCAAAAATCACCTGGGTATCGTTAGAATCAGAGAGAATTTTATTCTTTAAAGGGACTCAAAGCAAAATCTAAAGTGCAATAAACCAGGTTCTTTGGTTATGGCATACCAAAAAGAGACATAAAGTTCTTGCACGTGGATTTAGAGACACTACTCCAATGGGTTTTGCATCACCAGCCCCTAACCTAGCAAGTGTTCTACAGGGTTCTTTTAAAGGGTAATTGGCACAAAACGTCCCTACCTTTCAAGTTTATTGTGGAAAACGTCCCTACCTTTCGTTTTTTGGCATTTTTGCCCTCATTTCAACCTTTCTTTGCGCTGGACGTCCTTCCGTCCATATTCCGTCAGTTTTTCCGTTAAAAATTCGGGTAATTGGCACAAAACGTCCCTACCTTTCAAGTCTATTGTGGAAAACGTCCCTACTTTTCATTTTTTGGCATTTCTGCCCTCATTTCAACCTTTCTTTGCGCTGGACGTCCTTCCGTCCATATTCCGTCAGTTTTTCCGTTAATTAAATACAAAAATACCTTTTTCTTTCCATAAACAAGGGTAAAATTGTCCTCACCCACTTCACCCCTTTTTCCCGCCATCAACTTAGTCCATAAGTAACAGTAACAGTAACAGTAACATGAATCTGAAATACTTTAAATGATTAAGTTAAATAAAGAAAAAATATCGTAAACACATTATATTTCACAATTCCACAACTACTGTTGCTGTCATCTTGTGTCACTGAAAAAATTTAGAAAGACATATTAAATGAGTAGTCAATTTATAATGAGTCAATTTAAAATGAGCCATTCATCTTCTCCATTGAGCCAAAAAGAGTCATTCACAATTTTGCCTCATTATAAATTGACTACCCATTTAATATGTCTTTCTAAAATTTTCCAGTGACACAAGATGATAGCAACAGTAGTTGTGGAATTGTGAAATATAATATGTTCACGATATTTTTTCTTTATTTAACTTAATCATTTAAAGTATTTTCAGATTCATGTCGCTGCTACTGTTACTTATGGACTAAGTTGATGGCGGGAAAAAGGGGTGAAGTGGGTGAGGACAATTTTATCCTTGTTTATGGAAAGAAAAATGTATTTTTATAATTAATTAACGGAAAAACTGACGGAATATGGACGGAAGGACGTCCAGCGCAAAGAAAGGTTGAAATGAGGGCAAAAATGTCAAAAAATGAAAGGTATGGATGTTTTCCACAATAGACTTGAAAGGTAGGGACGTTTTGTGCCAATTACCCTTTAATTAACGGAAAAACTAACGGAATATGGACGGAAGGACGTCCAGCGCAAAGAAATGTTGAAATGAGGGCAAAAATGCCAAAAAATGAAAGGTAGGGACGTTTTCCACAATAGACTTGAAAGGTAAGGACGTTTTGTGCCAATTACCCTTCTTTTAAATGCACATTAGTGTATTATGTTGATGCCTGTACTAGTAAGACACAAAAAACAAAATAGCGACACAGGCAAATACTTCTAACATTGTAGATAAAGTAAAGTTTCTAGCTTTTATGTAAACGTAAATTTGGGATGTAATATGCAGACAGTGTCCTTGTTACATTTCTTTTCCTTAAAAAAATGCAATCTCAAGCATATTTTGTAGATAGATATAACTTTCTCCATCTTCAATATTTTAACCCAGTAATGTAATCAGTAAACTTTTGCATGAGACTACGAGAGGATTTAGAAGTGGTGCGTACTTACGCACACCAATTAACATATGGGATAAAGAGGTGCTCAACATGCACCATGAGGAAAGGAGGACAATGAGCAATTATTCAAATTCAGATTGCACTATTAAATTTGGAAATCAATAATAGTTTGATCATTTTGACAGCTTAATTGCACATAATAAGTTAATTTGCTGTCAAAATGAGCCCTTATGCATACTCTGTAGAAAGTAATTTCAGAATGTGTGGCTAGCCAATTCTACAAAACCTTCTTCAAGGCAAGCGGGGTAAAAGAGCAAGAGGAGGAAAATCATAAGAGAGAAAAATACTTTGTTCAAGATAAAAAACCTTATCTTTTAGAGTGTTCTTTTATGTGCTTGATTTATTGTCAGGCCACTTTTGCAACCAATCTGATCGGCCAATAGTTAGTTTCAATGATGGGTTTTCAGATTAAGCCATTTCTTTGCCTTGCTTTTGCTTCCATAATCAACCATGATTTTGTTGAGATACTTCGAAATTGGCTTATCCCCTTAAATTTCGTTCTGTAGAAATCTAGAGATTTTCCCTCCCCCATATTTATGACAATTCTTGGTTATTAAACACGTTATAGTTATATACTTTGATAATTTTGTTTTCATTAGTTAAATTCTCCCCCTTCCCCGCCTACAATTACCCAAACATATTAGGGAGAAGAAGGAAAATAATCAATTATCCTGAATTAGTCAGTTCTTCTTGTCTTGGTGATTCAATTACTGTATTAATTGCTTTCTTAGCTTATGGATAATGATTGGAAATTTTATTGTTTGGATGAGTCAAATCCTAACTCCTAATGAATCAGCCAATAGTTATTACAAGGAAGCTTCCAAATTAAGCCATCGTGTTTGGCTTATTCAGGACCACGTGTTGGATCAGAATTTAAAAGCAGATCCATTTCATTTTCACTCTCTGTTTCTTCAAGAGAAAATGGGAAGGAGGGCTGGCAGGGTTAGAGACTTGTCTCTTTTAACTATGCTTCTGCAGAAGATTTTACTTTCTTTTTACGATAAGTCTTTGTAGCTAACACTAACTATACACAAAGCGAGAATGAAAATACTATTTTCAGGATGGTAGCAAAGGTCATGAGTACATGTCACGCTTTGATGGGAAAATAAACCCTACCTATATGTGGGAGGTGCATTGAAGACAATAATTAAATGATATACATGTGATTTTCTCTTAAAGCTTAAACTCTTATGAAGTGGTTCAACACTAACTTTAGTAATACTTTTGCATATTTTATTTCCTTTTGTGCAACCCTTCCTTCCTCCTCCCATACAATTAATATTGAAAAACATTTTTTTTTTTGCCCCCAGGGCACATCTCCAAGTGGTAAAAAGGGAGGGTGGAGAAATCCAGCTTTGCTTGAGGCTGCCACGTCAAGGGTTCGAATCCTGAAATATGGATTTGGCTCTGGGTAAGTGCAAGTGTACAAGTAGCCTTCCACCCTGTACCCTTGGAGGCATAACCTGCGATTTACCTCCCTTACGATACTCCAAGGCAGGGGCGGTGGGGGACCCTCAAGGTTGGGGTTCAACCTTTTTTAATATTGAAAAACTTTTTTACCTAGAATCCTAGATCTGTCAAGAATGTGACCTTTATATCTGTTCTTTGTTTTCTATTTACTTTCGGCATGGAATCGGGTCGAAATAGGCCCTACATGTCTTCTCTATAGTACATGGAATCCCAAAACTGGCCACTTCCATAATTTCCCTCTGTAGGCAAGAATCTTGTAGTGAAGTGGAAGAAGAGAATTCATTTGACCAGACTATGACCATAAAAGGGTGAACTATGACATTCTTGTGTTGAGTCAACCTGAGGCTTATAGCTGAAAAACTTTTCATCAGTCCAGAATTCATTGATGGAAGAATCTGTCTTTCAATATTGTCTGCAATAAATTATTCTTAATCTACAGTGCAGATAGCTTCTTAAACCACAATTGTAATTTCTGAATGATAAACCCTAGAATTTAGGTTATACCTGCAAAGATTTTGTAGCATTGTACCTATTATTGTCACGTATTAAGATCTTCATTGAATGAAAAACTATGATATACCATCTTAAGTTCAATGCTGATAATCTTAAGCAAACAAAAAGCATGCCTGACTGCCGAAATTTATATTGCAGAATACATGTGTGTGCATGTCTGCCTCTTAACATTTTGGGAATCCAT